TGAGTAGACTGATTATGAAGCATACCTTGTTTTTTTTCCATGGGAATGTCTCTGGCGCGCAGCTCAGTATATTTTTTACACTGTGCCAGGAATACTGGAAACTCCTCCACCTTTCCTTCAAACTTTTCAGAAGGAACCAGAGGGCACTTGGCCTGGAAAGCAGCATTGGCTTGGTATTGCAGTTGTTGCTCCTGAAGCTCTGCCACTGTTTGAGTGAGAAACTGCACTTGAGTAAGCACAGCATTCAGCAGATTCGAGCCTTCGCTTGCTTCTCCCTCCATCTTGTTGGGGAAGTGTGGTGGTGGAAGCAATCTGTCACATTCCTGGGGGTTACAACAGCAGAATCCGATAAGCCAGTTCTATGTCAGGAATTCAGGGAATGCAGATCCAATATCCAAATACCAAAGCCAAAATGCACAACGTAGTCCAAGGTCAGAGTCCAAAGCCAAGGGTCCAGAGAACAAGGTTCAAGGTTGTCAGGAGCGTGGATACAAGCCAGAGGTTTGACCTGTTGCTTCCACGGATTTTCAGCCATCTGAGAGCTGTTTATATAGTAAAACAGCCCCTTGAACTGCTGGAAGCCTTTTCATCCTGTCAGTACTCCGGGCTAGATGATTGGATGTTTCTGCGGGCAGCTTTCAAGAGATCCTCTGACCTTTTTGTCATAAGCCTTCCCCGAAGCCTGGCTCTCAGCCTGTCTACTGGGGGAGGAGAACCTGGAGGCGATTCAGGTGTTTGTATTTCTAATTGCTCAGCATTCTCCTCAGCCACAGTTAACCCCTCAGGTTCCAGATCTTCGGCTGAACTCATGATATAAGCAGACAAAGTTTGTCAAATTCACCAGTCACTTAAACATTTGGCCCCTTTCCTGCCATATTTAGGCCATTTCGTGCTTTCTTCTCTTACTGAAAGATAGGCACCTTTCCTATTCTTCTATCAAAGTGTACCTTGTTGCTGTTTCAGCCAAGAGATCCCATCCGTTGAACTTCGCTTCTCTTTTCTCTCACCCTTTGTTCCACAAGTTCTTGAAAGGTTTGCAGAACCTGCTTCCACAAGTTCGCCCTCCATTCCCTACGTAGTCTCTTCTGCTTGTGTTGTGAGACCACCTTTTGAGCCACTAGCCACCTGCACCCTTCACCTTCTGTCCTGGAAGACAGCCTTTGTTGTTGCTATAGCTTCGCCACTCTGTGCCTCTGAACGTTGTGCTCTTTGGACCGATCCATCCTATCTTTCCTTCCACACTGACAAAGATGTCCTCCGACTGGATGTTTCCTTCCTAGCTAAGATTGTCTCTGTTTTCCATGTCAGCCAATACATAAGATGATCTGCTTGATTCTGTAGTCCTGTTTCTTCCATGGAGTGTGCCCTTCATACTCTGGATGTCAGGCATACCTTCGCTTTCTATCTGTCATGTACCACCTCTGTCCAGAACACAACGTGACTCTTTCTCTGCTACAGCGGCTCCCGGAAAGGTGGCGCCCTATCATTGCAGTGCTTCATACACTGGGTCTGTGAGAAGGATGGCAGGGTAGACAACCTCCCTGCCAGAGCACTGTTCCTCATCCATGGAGCAAGTGGTGAGCCCAAGCCTAAGATCCCTGAGAGGAAAACAAACCCTTCAACAGAGGAGCAAGAGCCAAGCACCAAAGGAAAACTGCTAGGGATGACGGTGGAGGACGTAGTAGAACAGACAGAGAAGTGGAAGGGTCTAGGAGAAGAGATGACAAGTCCAGAACAGGGAATGAGGGACAGAAAACCAGAGATGACAGGACAAAAAGGAGTGGAGCCAGAGAATCAGTTGGAAAAGGCGGGAAAGTAAGAAGAAGGGGGAGGGGAGGTGGGGAGGAGTGAAGGGAGAGGAAGAAAAAGGTTGGCGGAAACGGGGGAAGCCGAATCACATCAGTTGGGTAAGATCCTTCCCCAGGGATGGGAATGGATCTCCTTAGACGATCCCTGGACAAAGAAATCAGAACAGCTCATGGTGCTGAGAGGAGATGGAGAGAGATAGTGCTAGTGAAGCCTTCTCATTGGGGTGAGAAGGAGGCTTGAGAGTGAGCAAGGAAGATCAGGGAGGAGAGAGCCTGGCTGGGCAAGGAAAAGAGAAAGGTAGCTGGCAGCAGCCTTCAGAAACAACAACACCTGAGACCCAGCACTTGGTAATACTCGGGATCAGGACTCGACAGGTCTACGCCGAGGACATCTGGAGGGAATGGAGTGCCTTTGTTGTCAGTTCCACAAGACGCCACATTGAGGGACTTCTCCTTTAGAGAAGGTTTTGAACAGTTGGATTTTAATGTTCAAACCCATTTCAGAAACCAGAAGCTAACCCCTTCCTCACATCATTGTTTGAGGAAGAGATGTTACATATTCTTGTCACTGGTGAAAGTTTATTAGATGCACCTATAATAAATAGCTACAATTCATGGTCAGGAGTCAAGTGTTGCCAGGCTAGTCATAGAGTGAAAGGGAGGGAAAAGCCCTTCTCAAGGTAACGAACCCTCACAGAGTCATGGAGTGTATTGCCCTTGATTACCATCTTCAGGGCCTTCTCATGCGTCTGCGACTGACTGGCCCCTCTACACAAGTACCGTGCGCATGTAGAGCCAAAGAGGATTCCAGGTTCAAGCAAGCAGTGATGGCTTCGATTCTGCTATTACACTCCCTCCTCTAAGTCAGCTTGTAGTCTACCCATTTGTATGATCGACCGAGACCACAAAGAATGTTCCAGAATGAAACTCTGTGCAGGCACAGAACTCACTTGTGTGACTCCATAGATGACCACTCAAAAAGTAACAGTTAAAGGTGAGCAATTAGACTTCCTTCCTTCAACTAAAAAGTTAGCTTCCAAATTAGATGTTACAGGCAAAAATAAGCTATCTGTTCAGTCTAGTTTGAAACTAGAATTTGAAATGGCTTACCTTGAGAAGAACAGCGCCAGATAGGATCCAAACTTTGTATAGGTTGTTCCTGGAAAATTCTTAGGGAAAAACAAACCACAGACCTGGTTGCAGCATGTTCCCTGGCCTTCTCTTTGGGATCCACCTGGCAGGTTGGTTTCCAAGTTAGCGACTCCACCAAAACCAAGTCATCTGCTGGATCGACCTTTGAAACAGATGTGAAACATCTGCTAGTAACTATAAAATCTATGAAGGTCAGTTGACTAGTGGCGCATTAAATTATACAGAGTGCAGTCAGAAGGGTATTTAGCCTGCTCTTTAGACTACTGCAGAGACAGGCTGGTGTGCTCTTCAAGATGGCCATCAGATGACATCTTGCTAGAGCAAACCATATCACCTCCAGAGGTTCCTGCCTGAACCTTTCTGACTCCTGTGGAGGGGCTTCTACTTTTTTGGTATGCGTAGGAACACTCTACTTGCTTCATCTCCACCACATATGATTGCTGGGAACAGACCAAAAAAAGCTTTCCTCTTTCAATTTGCCAATATGGTGGAGCGGCACGTGCCCCCTCTGTGTGTGGGGGGAGGAGTTGACTTTTCAAGAAGGGGCAAGTGGGGCAGCAAGAGACCAGTGAGGGATTTCCAAAGGTTGCGTAGCGAGGCTGTCTTTGTGAAGCTGAACCCTCCAGTGATGCGTACGCATGGAGGGGGCTGGGATTTTTTAAAAGGGCAATTGGAGCAGTGGGAGGAGGCAACAGGGAGGATCTTTGTTTGCCTTTGCTATTTAAGAGAAAAGCAAACAACCCCCCTCCTCCTGCTTCCGACAGCGAGCTAGTGGGGACCAAATAGGGTTACTTCAGCTCTGTATGCCATTTGGATGCAAATCTCACAGCCAATGGCATCCCAGACCTCCCAGCAACCCTATTTAGCCCACTCCAACCTGTTCAAAACGGAGTGTAGACAAGCCCATCGTTTTCCCTCCCCAGGGCGGCACAAGTCTGGTTTTTAAACTGGATGTACAACCAACTTTAAGCATTATTGAACGGAAGTGATCTTTTTTCCAACCTGAAATTAATCAAGGATAGAAATAAAGAATCACCATTTAAATTGCAGTTATTAACACTGGGTCAGTCAGAGTTGGAGCAGAACCAAGATGTTGACCAGTTTCTTTTTTCTTAAACTTTTTTTAAAAAAAATTTGCTTGTGCAAATAGAAAGAAAGATGATTCACCTGTCGTTTTGTCCAATGAAGTGTGGAACTTGAGTGGCTGGCTCGATGTCCCTGCACTGATCTGTGAAAAGCAATCTCAACGTACTGATACTTTTTCACAGAACGATCTCCCTCTATTCAGGATAAAGGTAAAGGTAAAGGTTCCTCTTGACATTTTTAGTCCAGTCGTGTCCGACTCTAGGAGGCAGCACTCATCCTGCTTTTCAAGCCATAGAGCCAGCACCTGTCCGAAGACAGTTTCCATTGTCACGTGGCCAGCGTGATTAGGGAACGCCGTTTTACCTTCCCACCGAGATGGTACCTATTTATCTACTCACATTAACATGCTTTCGAACTGCTAGGTTGGCGAGGAGCTGGGACAAAGCGACGGGAGCTCACTCCGTTGCATGGATTCGATCTTACAACTGCTGGTCTTCTGACCCTGCAGCACAGGCTTCTGCGGTTTAGCCCACAGCGCCACCACGTCCCTCTATTCAGGATAATGCACTTCTATAGAAATTACAGTTGTTTTTGCTAATGCACAATCCATGCCTGATGAGGAGGAGCTGCCCTTGATTGTCAACCTGAAAAAAAGAAGAGAAGGGAGATCCATACGCTGGTGGAATGTGTAGGGGACTTGCCATTAAATCTCCTTGAGGGTCCACTTTCTATTATTGGTGATATCTCAAGAGGCATCTGGAAGAGACAGAAAGCTTTGGTGCCTCCCCAACCTCCCCCATTGCCAAAGTGGAACTGGATCAGCCCAGTCAACGCACATGCTTCAAACTTGGTCGTCTCTGTGAAGTCTGCAGAGAAGAATGGTTGGGACAAGGTGAGCCCCTCTCACCCCAAAACACAATTGCTGCAGATTACACAAGTTGAACTCACTGCGTAGGCCTTCAAGGGGCACCCATGGGCACAAAAGAGGGGGGCAAGAAGAAATCAGTCCTAAACAGCTTCACAAATGAAGTCAAACTGTTGACCATTCAGGAAAGGGCAAATAGCTACCCAAAGTGCTGATTCGTTGTTAAGCCTACCTGTAAATGTTCAACAGAATCCTCATCTTCCTTCTCTCTTACCCCCAAAACCATTAGCTGTGACATCACAGTACTTCTAACATGTCATTCGGAGTTTTGGAGACCGGCTTACTAGTCTGGGAGCATTGATTGTTTCCCATGCCCGAAGTTACAGGTATCCTGGCAAAAGAATTTGAGAACAGAGTTATCATGCCCCCACCCCTCATATCCTGTTTGAGCTATAAAATACTCTTCCATGCTGCATTCCACATTGATACACACATTGTTTGTTCTTCTCTTTTTACTGTGGGCTATCTGCAGACAGGAGGAAAACCACTCCTAACACAAATCCTGTTTTGATGCAGCAGAAACTAAGTCACTAGCTGTCCCGCGCCCACGACAAGTTGGCCACTACTGCAATACCCAGGAAGCTTCCCAGCACTGGGCACCCACTGGCGCTACTCTGCCCTCCCCATATATGCTAGATCACATGCTTGCATTCAAGAAGTTTTTATATTTCAAACTTTGCAAAGAGAAAAGGTGCAGCAACAAATAACATCTTGGATGTGACACGTCCTGCTTCAAAAGTTCTGTCACTGCTCTTCCTCCACTACAGGTAGTCATAAAGACCACTCCTCCTTCAGCACTGCTACCATTAGCAATGTTTTCTTAATATGCCTCCCTTGTGCCCTTTTCAGGATGGGAACTACTCTTCAGTAGACCTTTTTGTTTGCTTGTTTTTTCCTCCTTTGTTTTGTTTATTTAAAAACTGGAACTTTTGGAACCCTCTGATTTTACATACACCCAACAGAAGCAACCCTAACCCTAAATTCATACATCTGGCGTTTATTCAAAGAGGCATAGTTACCAGCTCAAAATGGCTGCTTTGAGGGTCTTGACAGTTACAGAATGTTCACTGTTCAACTGCCTTCTCTCTTTTGCTCCCTCCTTTCCCCTCTCCCCCCAGAAGGAAAGAGGTAAAGAAACAAAAAACTAACTAACAAACAAAAAGCACCCCATTCACTTGCTTATAAAGACAAACACCAAACAAATCTATTTGCAGAGAGGGCCAGATTGATGAAGTTTAACAGATAAGGTACTCCTACCTTTGGGCACCATGTTGGAATCCCAACTACCTTTCGCAAATCTGTCCTTCTTCTGGCCTTAAATATAAACAAAACTTGACTCACCTCCTTCCTCTTGGGTCCTTATGACTGGCCTTTCTGTCGTTAGATGAGGAATGGAACAAGACATTTTAATGATGAAGGGAGAGCTGTGCTAAGGTGCTCCCTCTCACGCAAAGGACATGAAATTCAGGGCCCATTGAAGTACTTCATTTCTTGAAAGAGCAGATCTTGCAAGCACATCTTCCCATTTTGGGGTAAATAAGGGCACCCTAAGTTAAAGAACTAAACATCTGCAGCCCTTTAGTGGTACCCCAATATTCTTCTGCTGCTGTCATCTCACTGAGTTAAGCAGTAGGGACAGTTTGAAATTCATTATTTTTCCCCATGCTTCTTTTTAAAAAATCTTCAGTGTAGCATTTCTTCTCTTCGTTAATTTTCAGTTTAAGTCTTGCATGACGATGTTGTGTCCCTGGATACTTTCAGAAAGCTTCCCCCTTCCTGTTTGATCAAGATTAAACCTGCTGCCATTTTCTCCAATTTCCTTTTCATTTAAAATTATTGCTTTTGAAGAACTGATTACTCATTTGCTACACCTGTCATTTACAGCTATTCTTTCAGCTGCATAAAAATACCCTCGATTTACTTCTAAAATTTGTCTGCTGTGGCTTTGGGTAATAAAAACTTTTTAATCCTCCCCTCTCCAATGCTTTAACTCCCCAGTGTAGCCTACCTGCCTCAACCTCCCAACCGCACTGAAAAAGGGAGGGGTAGGGAGACTAACAGAAGGCAAGGACAGCCTCACACACTACAAGGCACTTGATCCTTCCGCCAGCTGCTGCGCATCACAATGGCACAAAATATAGTCCCTGATATTCTGGGCACCAGAACTGCAAAACTCCATGATCCAGAGGGTCCCTTCCAGCCCTGCCGTTCTAAGATTATCATTATCAAAATACCATTCATGTTGTATTCTTTTTGAGGGGAAATCAGATTTTATTTTAAAATGGAAAAAAGGGGAGAGGTGCTTGGAGCACTGTGTACCTGGGTGTTATGCACTTGATGGATAGGCGGCCATTTGCTTTCAAAAGAAGATTCTCTTCAATATTTGGGGAAAATGCAAAAAAGGAAACAAGGTGGGATAAAAGGAAATGGGAAGCAATTTGGATCATTAGATCTACTCTTAGTTTGGCCTAGCAATAGGATACTGGCCTAGGTCCTTATTGTCTCTGTGTTTTTACAGACGTTAGGGAGGATACTCCCAGCCAAAGGAATGGGTCTCATCCTGAGATACAGTGGTGTTTCATTTTACCTGGTCTAGCACGCTGACTTACTCAGAGCTATGAAGTTAGTTAATGAGATGCAGAGAACAAGGACTGAGGACTCAGCCTCCCCTCTGTCCCTTTTAACCACCTTGATGACTTTTTATATCATACGACAATAAATCTCTTAGTCTCATAGGTGTCACAGGATTCTTTTGTTATTTTAAACTTACAGTTGATACAACAGGGCTGCCTCTGTGGGAACTGCAGAGGGGCTTGGAATTCATTGGGGTTAGGATGTCATTCCCAAAATACACAGCGTAGGCTTTTCTTCCCTTTATCTGGTTTAAATATTACTTCTGTTCCACCCTGCATTTTGTGGCTCAGGGGTTTGGGGTAGAATCTACTTATCACTGCACACATGAATGCTCCTTTAGATATGTTGTGTGTGTGTGTGTTTGACGCCACACATTACAATGGAACTCTCATGTGAGCTCACTCTGTGTTAGCTCCTAGTGTGTTTCCAGGTGCAATTCAAATTGTTAATGCTTACCTTTAAGGTCCCGTATGCAGAACACAGATTTCTCTTAAAACACTGCCTGCTCCCGCATGTTGAGTGACCCCATAGCCTGCCCTTGAGTCTTTCTCTCATTGATGATGAGATAGCTCTCATATCCTGAGTTGGCTGTTTTTGTGGTGGCTCTATGTTGTGGGGGAAAACTCACCAGGGACAGACTCTTCTAACTTCCGATACCTAAAAGAACTGCCATTTGCACAGGATCTCTGGATGTTTGTCAGCTGTTTTATCATCTCTCTTTCTAATTTTGCTGAGGATTTTTAAAATACATGTTTTTCTTTGCTCTATTCTAGTTGTTTCTTTTCACTGTGAGTTATTCTGCAGTGCAGAGGAAAAGCAGCCTAGCAGCATTTGAAATAATGAAACAAAAGCATTAGGGGTGTCGTCTTGTTTGCTGGCTAGCAAGAGCAGCAATGAGAAAGCTGGCTAAAGCATCGCCTCTTCTGCTTCACACCACAACTACTCTCTGAGCCAAAGTGAGAGGAGGGCAAACCAGCAGCCTGCAGTGAGAAAGAGGAGGAGCAGGTCCAGTACACTCTGGTCTGTTGGTCCCTGGCACACAGTGGACCCTCAGCAGTTAACTGACCACACTGTTTTTTGATGCCCGCCCTGAAGTGTACACACCCATTTCTTTTTTTGCTATAGAGTATAATGCTGTATCCCTGCTAACCATCTGTATGAGAAGCCTTCTAAGGCACCAGTGGCTTTCAGTCTCTATTGCATCTCAAAGAATAGAAGCTCACTGGGGCTCCGAATCTGTGTATGTATTAAGGCAGGTAGATAAATAGGGATTAAGCAGGTTCTGTGGAGGTCAAGGCCAGGCCAAGTCTGATTTAAAGATAAAGGACCAGAAGGCGAGAGCACCGGGCCTGTCCAGAGTTAAAACTTGGATTTCAGGTTGAACAAGTACACAGATCACCAGGTTGCTTTCTTCCCCAAATTAATGAGATGCATCATACTTTTGTTAAAAATACAAAAGCTATTTGTAATTTTGCCTCCATAAACATGGGTTGTCATAAGTTCACACACACACACACACACACACACACACACACACACACACAGAGAGAGAGAGAGAGAGAGAGAGAGAGAGGGTACGTAATTTTATGCAGACCTCTTTTGTGTTCTGTGATGATGGATGTCCTTTTCTGTGTGATGTGTCAATGCTGCATATAACAGCCATTTTTTAAATGAACATCTGTCTCGAAAGAGTGAAAAACAGAAGAGTTTAGAGGCCAGTGATGGGCCATATTCATGTTACAAAGACATAGGCAAAGCACATGGCCTAATATCCAGTGGTATCGTTCCACTTGCGCTTCAACCTCTCGTGAAATCTCCACTGATGAAACCTCCTTGTGAGAGTTTCAGATCCAGTACTGTACCTTGATTTCACAGATGCTGTTGCTCAAGTGCTTTAACTTTCTCTTAATTAAGTGTTTGCCTTATTCATTTAATATTTCATGTCCTGCTTTAGGATTAGTTTTTTGGCTGCTACTTTAATACCACTTTCTTCTTTGAAATAATATTCCATGATCCACTTGACAATCCTCTGGTAACATTTAGTATCCCAAAGCTACTTGCATCGAAACTAAAACTTTAGGACAGACAATTATAGACAGCAATCAACATCCAATCAGGAGATTCATTGGTTAGCAGTGCTGGCCCCAGCCATTTTGCTGTGTGAAGGAGAACATTAAATGAATGCAAAATGGCAGGATTTAGTTGTTTGAAAATAGGTGTTATTGTTCTTAATAGTGTTTTCATTGAATATCTGGGTACTTGCTGGTTTGGGGTGTGATGGAAGGATAGCAAATTGTCACATTTAATTTATCCATGTTGTATTTTTTATGCACAGAGAAAGGTACTTGAAGGATTTCATATATTTGTTTATTGTGGGTGGGCAGGTAGTGCACAATAAATTGTCTGGCCGTTATTTGTTCTTTGACATGTTTGGTTTCAAATTTTGGCCTAGGGCTGCAAGATGTTTGAAGCCATTCCTTCATTAGACCACACAAGAGAAACTAGGGTGCTAATTTAGAGAGGTGGAAGCAGAGGTACCATAGGTGGAACAAGAGGAAAGTGGGAAGGAAGGTCTCAAAAATGAGATTGAAGCCACAGAAAGAAATGGTTTTGGTAGTTCAAAAAAAGAGAGAAAAGACCGGAAGTGAGAGCTTAGGGCAGAGGTTGGAAAGAAACACATCTTTCTTTAGCTAAGGAAGTCTCTCTCTCTCTCTCTCTCTCCAGCCCTCAAATTCTTAATTGATTACTCTGACAAGGTAAAGTATGAGGAAGTCAGAGCTGTGCAGGGAGAGCTGTCACTTAGCCCTGGCTGCTTGGTATTTGGTTATTCGTCTTCAAGCTTTTTTTTTTTAAGATTAAGAATATCGCAATCTTAGTCAGGCTTCATTCATAAGTAATGAACTCAGTCCAATAAATGTTGGGCAAATCGTGCTGCATCTTGGATTAAAAACTGGGTCAGGAAGCCAGAATATGACCTTGGTTTCCTGCCTAGCTAACCAGTGGCTGCTTGTATCCCTCACTGCACAGCAACTCATGCAACTGGAGTACAACAAGGCAACTGGGGAACCGGTGGCAATCTGCTGCTGCTTTTCACACCAGTCCACTTATGCCAGCTTAACTCACCAATAGGATTCTGAACAGGAGTAATTAAGTAATGTAATAACTTCATATTCTCAGCCACCTGTAATACTGCCATCTTTCCCTGGTATTTTGGTTATAACAGAAAACATGAACAACAATACAAAACAAGTATAATAGAGTTCATCTGGCACTCACGAAAGTGTGCCGGGAATAAGTGAACTCATACGCCATGAAGTAACACTTTGGTTTCTCCAGACCAGACAGCTGTAATCGTTACTACAAAACGCCAGGGAGAAATTACATTTCAGACTGCAACCTTTATGATTCCCTTGCCACTGTGGCCACTGCAAAGGGGAGTGATATTCCATTATGAACACATCTTCATGGATCACTGTTAGTGTCAAGCATCTGTGCCTCTTTACATTATGCACTGTAGTGTGAGTACATTAAGATACCTCCCTAAGCACTCTAATTCAAAAGCCTTTGTTTCTGATTTTTTTAAAGGCTATCTTTCAATAATCCATAAAGAGATTAAATTTGTTTAGTTACTAAAAAAAATTGTTGAACATACTAAACTTTCAGTAGAGTCAAAGTTATCATATAATCCTCTGGAACAGTCAATATATGTTTTTCCTAGTTGGATTTTGACTATGTAATCCTAAAATCTTTTTATCCCCAAACTTGGGGCATCAGCAGTTTCAGAAAGGTAAACGTTGTTCTCCATAATCAGATAATAAACATGCTTCTTTCATCTGGTAGTATGAAATTTTGAATAGGCAGTGTGTAGCCTGCATAATTAAATTGTAAATCACCTAGAGAGTGCTATAAGTATATAAACGGTATCTAAGCAGCACACTTTGTTTTGCGATGTCCAAAGAGAGAGAGAGATTGCAGGAGAAACAATGCTGGAAGTGAATCATGTTGAATTTAATTGTTTGTGTGGTCATTTTAATCCTTGTGCACAATACTCCTCCCAATTCCACTTGACAACCAGGGTCAGCTCTTAGATGTTTGTATATTACATACACTATCATCAATATTCTGATTAAAAGCATGAAATGAAAGGCTCTGTGCTCTCAGTGCTCCATATTTCCTCCAGCTTGTGGTTATCTAAGGCAGAGATTGTCCCATTACAATTTACACTTGTGCAAGATTACCAGATCTCCTCTTGTGCAATACGTATTGAAGGAGAAACGTCATATGGAAGAGACCAATCTGTGTGCCGTTTTCCTCAAATAGGATCCTGGCTAATATTTGTTGAGAGAGTCCGACAAACCCTAAAGTTCAAATAGGATCCTGGC